CGACATAACCATTAGCTATGTCGATCTACAATTTAGAAAAATTAAGGGGAATTTTTACTTGATTTTTTAATTAGAAATTAGGGTTTTTTTTGATAATAGGGAAAATTTTTCTTGGATAACTAGGACTTTTAGTAATTAAGGCAATCTTCCTCTTCCATAATACAGATTAAAGAACCAGTCTTTAGTTTCTTTTTTCGCAGGTTAGGATGGAAAGAGTGTTCAAAGTCATAAAAAACTGGACTAAAAAGGAAATTTCTCTCTGGATGCTTTTGGGAACTATTAATCTTTTCAAGGACTCCAACCATTCTTCCCTCTTCCTCGCCTAAGGACATTTGGCATAACTCAATATCAGGATTAATAATTAATCTTATCTTTTTCTTACTTCAAATTTTTTTCAGAACTTCGGTTAAATTTTTCTTGTCCTTTTCATTGATATAGTGAAAATGGTTATCTATCTCTTTAACTTCGGAGAGAGTATAAACCGAATATTCCTTAAACGCTTTGTTTGTGAAAGCAAAAACACTTCTTAATTTATGGGATGATAAGCAATTAGTAAGTGATGAACTATGAATACACTTATCAATTAATTTAGCAAAAGAAAATAACATCTAAATTCTTATGGCGTGGTTTTCCGGGGTTTTTTTCCACCGACTATCTTGGGCTTTATATTGAATTTCACAAGCAAAAGCCTCGGCATATTTTTTGGCTAATTTTTCCAGATGAGATAATACTCGATAATCAGTAATATCAGGTACTTGCGAAAAAAAATAATCTAAATGATTTCCATGCTTTTTAATTAAGTCGCGCAAGGAAAGAAGCACCGGACAAGCTAAACCAGCTTGGAATTCTTCTTTAAAAAGCAATAAATTTTCTTTTTTTAGTATTTCAGTGTAAGCCAAGTAAGTAATCGGTTGGAGAAAAGGCTGTTCTACTCCTCTTTCTCCTAAGTTTTGATAAAAATACTTCGCCACTGACAAAGGATTTAAATTTAATTGTTTTAGTTTAATTGTTTTAGTTGCCATAACACTCACT